GCTTAAGGGAGTTAAGTATAATAATAATAGTTATACCTAACTATAATACATATTATACCTACATATAATGCAATTATACTCACCTCCCTTACATCAATATAATAGAAATTATAACAACATATGAATTCTAAAAATCCTTATTATTATTATTATTATTATATTTTAATCTTCACTCAAGGATATTTTTCCTTTTTTTTTTTTTTTTTGAGAGAAACCCAGGGCCCTGGCCAGGGAAGAGCCTGCAACTGAGGAACATGCCCCTGACAGGAATCAAACCCGGACCCTTAGGTCTTCAGGCCAATGCTCTATCCACTCAGCCAAACTGGCTAGGACTAAAAATCCTCTTCTGAAATACAAAGAAGTTGATACAAAAATCAGACAAAGACATTACAAGAAGAAGAAATTACACACCAAGATCACTCATAAAAAAGAAACAATATCCTTGACAAAATACTAGCAAATCAAATCCAACAATATATAAAAAGGAAAACATACCATGACTAAGTAGTTTTATCATAGAAATGCAAAGTGATTCAACATTTAAAAAATCAGTCAATGTAATTCACCATATTTATAAATTTAAAAAGAAAACCCATTTGGTCATCTCAATAGATGCAGAAAGAGCATTATATAAAATTCAACGTTCACTCATGATTACAATTGTCAGCAAACCAGGAGTAGAAATGAACCTCTTGAACCTGTTAAAGGGCATCTACAAAAAATCTAACATCATACATATTGGTGAAAGACTGAATGCTTTCCCTCTGAGATTGGGAATGAGACAAATAAAAATTTAGCTAATAAAAATATAAGACACCCAGTTAAATAATGTCCACTTTCATCATTCCTGTTAAACATGGTACTAGAATCTCCAGTCAGTGCAATAAGGCAAGAAAAAGAATACAAGGCATACAGATTGAAACAATTATGCTGAGTGAAATAATCCAGATAAAAAAGAGTATAGGCCCTGGCCAGGTGACTCATTTGGTTAGAGCAGTGGTCGGCAAACCGCGGCTCGTGAGCCACATGTGGCTCTTTGGCCCCTTGAGTGTGGCTCTTCCACAAAATACCACGTGCGGACACGCACGTACAGGGAACGTTGTGGAGTGAAAGAAGATGTAGTGTCGAGGATTGAGAAAGGAGATAGACGAAACAAGTATACAAGACGAGTGTGGATGGGAGAGTTGGAAGGGGTTGACCTCAGCGAACATACCTCAATCAGATTGAGGACGTTTTTAGCAAAGGCCAGCTTAGGGGTACCCTAATTAAGTTAGTAACAATGTACCTACCTATATAGTTTAAGTTTAAAAAATTTGGCTCTCAAAAGAAATTTCAATCGTACTGTTGATATTTGGCTCTGTTGACAATGAGTTTGCCGACCACTGGGTTAGACTGTCATTCTGATATGCCAAGGTTGCAGGTTCAATCTCCAGTCAGGGCACATACAAGAAGCAACCAATGACTGCATAAATGAGTGGAACAACAAATATCTATCTATCTATCTATCTATCTATCTATCTATCTATCTATCAAGAGGCCCTGGCTGGTTTGGCTCAGTGGATGGAGCATCAGCCTGCGGACTGAAGGGTCTTGGGTTCGATTCTGGTCAAGGGCAAATTCCTGGGTTTCTGGCTCGATCCCCAGTAGGGGGCATGACCAGTGATCCTCTCTCATCGTTGATGTTTCTATCCCCCCCCTTCCTCTCTGAAATTAATAAAAATATATTTTTTAAAAAAAGAGGCCCTGGCCTGTTTTGCTTGGTTAAAGTGTCGGCCCTCGGATGGAAGGGTTGCGGGATTAATTCTCTGTCAAGGGCACATACCTTAGTTGCAGGTTCCCCTGGCCCTGCTAGGGGTGTGTGCGGGACGCAACCAATTGATGTGTCTCTCTCATGTCCATGTTTCTGTCTCTCTCTCCCCCTCCTAACTCTTTTCCACATTCTCTAGAAATCAATGGGAAAAACAAACAGACAAACAAACAAGAGAAAATTCTAGAAAATTCAAATTAATCTATAGTGACAGAAAATATATCAGTGGTAGTGATTGGGGCTAAGGATTACAAAGAAGCACTAGAAAACTTTTGGGGATGATGGATATATATATTATGCTGATTATGGTAGTGTTTTCACAAGTATGTACACTGTACATCTGTATAAACTGCACACTTTAAATATGTATTTTATTGTCCATTAATTATAACTCAACAAAGCTGAAAAAAGGGGAGTTTAAAAGACATATCAAACTAATAAAAATAGTTAAGGGTTATATATGTAAGACTTGTGCTTACCTTTGAAGATAATGTAGATTTCTTGCGAAAAGAAATCCAGAACATATTAATCAAAAAGTATAACATTAAGGTTCCCAGATTTAGCAAATAAAAATATACCACTCCCAGTCAAATTTGAATTTCAGACAAACAATGAATAATCATTTAGTATAAATTATCCTAAATATTGCATGCAACATAGTAAAAAAAAAAAGATGTTTATCTGAAATCTGGAACAAACTTATATTACTAAATAATGGTTCATTGTTTATCTGAAATTTAAATTTAACTGGTCTTGAATTTTATCTGGCAATCCTAGATATTGTCTTATCTGCAGTGGACAAACTCAAACCTCTGAAGAGGGCAGCTGCTTGACTTCTGTTTATTTTTATTTGCGCGAAGCTGCCAAACTGCTGTACTCTACACAAAGGATGCATGTTTCGTGTCCAACACAATGCCTCATTCACAGTAGGTGCTCAGAGATTATTTTTGCTCTGCAAGCTGTGTGAAAGATAGGGTCTGCATCCACCTTGCTCACCATTTTATCCCCAGGGCCCATTACAATGCCTGGTGCTCAATGAATAGATGATTAAATGAATAGTTGCCTCTCATACTCCAGAAAATGGCAGAGTTGACCTTGTACTCCAACCCTTGAAGCTGGCTGATGAACTTCTTGGACTAGCACCAGTCCTGATTTCTTGGCTTGACTCCCTCTTTACTATTGCTGTATGTGTCTCAGGTTGCTATTTTGTGACTGACCTTGAATGTCTCTCTTTTATTTCTTGTTTTTCCCTAGGGAATCTGGGTGATTACTCTGAGACTCTGAAACCCTTGGCCCTTGGAAAAATCTGAAAGTCTGAAACACAATAGCTAGGTTTGTTCATGAAATATTGGGGCGTGTTCTTTTCAGAGATAAGGAGATTTGGGATGGAGCTCAGTTTTGGGAAGAAGACCAGAATAAAAGGAAACTTTTATATACTGGTGGTGGGAAGGATTTATATACATTTTGGGAGTTTTATTATCTATTTTATAAATATATGAAGTACAAAAATTCATCCAAACTCTAAATGCATTAATTTTCTTCCATAAAATTAAGAACCTAATCTAAGATTCCTCCCTGTAAACACAAATAAGCAGAGACTGTATCAGTTATTTCTAGTGAGAGAAGGATAGTGTGGAGAAAAATGTCTTGTGCTTAGATTTTAGAATTGTAAGGAATCTTACTAATAATTAAGTATAACATATGCAGGGTGTCCCAAAAAGTGTATACATACTTTAACAGCTGATAGTTCAATTTTGAAAATGAAGTCTATTTTAATAAACACTGCCTTCATCATTATTCAGTGTGTGTATACATTTTTGGGGACACCCTATATTTAGTACAACTACTTCCTTGTTTTGAAGATGAGTGTGAGGCCCACACACTCTTACAAGTTCACAAAGTGATTACATGACTAAAGTGAGTGAAAAAAATACAGCTCAATAAAACCTAGGTCTCCCTCCTACTTTTACTTTTAGCTCTATAACTCAGTTTTCTCTGTTGGAAAAGAAATAAAATCAAGCACATTGTGCTAAGAGCATATCTATTATTCTCCTTGACATTCAGAATGTTGTTCTTAGGTCCTTTTGAGTCTAAACCTTCCTCTACCTTTAAAGTTTTCAATACTATACTACTTCATTGGTGTGTCCTCACTTGATACACTCTTTTTCTATGGTTGTATTTTTGGAGGGGGGCAAATTAACTACTGTGGTTTAGGTCACTGGTTCTTTTCTATGCAAAAAGAAATTTCAGGAAGTGAAAAGGAGGAAGGTGGCAGAGATTTCTACAGGGACAGAATACCTGCCCCCGGTTTTTTCCTTAGATGCAAATGCTTTCGGTAGTTTTGAGCTGTTATGAGGATGATATAACCTAAATGCTTCCACACAAGTGCAGTTAATTTGAAGGAGGAGGAGGAGGTAAGACGAGAGGGAATATCACGTTTTGTAAATAGAAAAAAAATATTATGCAAACATTCAACAAATAATATTTTCCTGTAGGGATAATTAGAAAGAAAACAAATCCTCCTATTAATTCCCAACGCAAATGACTTAGAGAAAAATGCAGCCAAATAAGCAGAGGTACTTACCCCTCTTCCAAGGGAAGATGAAGTCTTATTAAGTCGCGAGTACCGTACTCAATGTTTTCGGAGTACCGTTTGAGAAATGGTACAGTACTGATAGGGGAGACGTTAGCATTTACTTCTATTGCTACTGACGCAAAATTTGTCAATGCAGCCTTGGCTTTGCGTCCAGACGTGGCGACTCCTCCTGTTGCAGGTGGTGCAGCTGGCCGGGGGCGGGGAAGGGGAGCTGGGACGGAATTCTGCAATCTGGGTTCACAGGGGTCTGCCCTGCCTCCGAGGCTGCATTGCAGTGGGGTGTGAAAGGTTCATGTGTGCCAAAGCTTTGGGGCCTTTCTGTCGCAGGAGGGACTCAAAGGACACCGAGGAACATGATCTCATTGAAGGCATGTGATTCTGAGGTGCTCAGGGTCCAGCATTCCCCAATTTGGGCGGAGAGGCAAACTGCTGAGACGACGGCCCTTGCTAGCGCCCAGAGCAGCGGGTGCAATGTTTTCTCCTGTCCGGCAGGGGCCGCTGGGAGCGAGGACCAGCTTGGGGCACTCTGGGCGGCCGCTGGTCTCTGTAGCCCCGCCCCCTGCGCGCAGCCGCGGGTGGGAGGCGAGGACGGCGCTAGCACGCGTGCGCGCTCCCTCGGTGCAGCTGGTCTGTGAGCGTAAGTGGGAGGTGGCAGGCCTCGGTCTCTGGCCTTGTCGACTGACTGAATTCGCGAGGCGTCTCCAGCCATGAACCGGTTTGGTACCCGGCTAGTGGGAGCCACGGCGATCCCGCCGCCGCCGCCGCCGAAACCCCGCAGCAATGAAAACCTCGACAAAATTGATATGTCTCTGGGTGAGGAGCCGAGTTGGACCGAGTTGGAGTGGGGGGAGGGTGTGGGTGGGACCAAGCACCGCGGTTTGTGGGGGGAAGGGGCGGTTGGCCACAGTTGACCGATGGAGTTTTTTTGCGGGTGGGCGGGACCAAGTGAGGGCCCATTGGGCTGTTAAACGCCTGCGAAATGAGGTTTAAATTCAAAAAGGGGAAAAGATTATACAGAAGGGAAGTGATTAGTGAGTGACGAGAGGGTGTAACTATATGATCGTTGTATTAAGGGCAATTAAGGGACAACATCTTTTACAACAATGGAGCCAATCAACATGGGATTACTCCAAATAAGGCAGAGATGGGACGGGGAGGGCGCGGCGAAGAGTCCACCAGATATTTGATGTATTTCGTACACAACATCCGCAC